CCCCTCGAAGCCCCCCTTCCCCCCTCCCGCTGCTCGGGCGCAGGTTCCGGGGGCTCCGTCGTTGCGGAGGTCGCTGCCGGACACAGGTCGTCGACGTCGATCTCCTCTGCTTCCAGTTCATTGTTTGTGTGCCTCCAACCCATTGTCCTCTCCCAACATGTTCACGTCCTCCCCTCCCCTGTTGCCTGGGTGGGGTCTGCCTTGGCCAAGGACCCATCCTCCACCTCGCGCGCCAGTCCTCTTCTGGTTGATCGTCCCACCAGTAAGAAGGGTCAGTGTCCACCCCCGAACACGATCCCCTTGGAGGGCTCGACTCTGGCGTCGCCTCCTCTGCGGAGGAAAACCCTCGGAAGGTGCTGGCGGAAAGTGTGGGCGTAAAAAGCCAATCGTCGAAAAACTGTGCTGGCATGGGCCTGTGTGGGAAAAGGGCATGGAACTCGTCCTTGAGGAGGGGTTCGTCCAAAGCGTAGTCCCGACCCAACTGTTGGCGCTGGCCGGGCGCCCTCCCTGGCGAGAAAATATTCTACTCCCTCTTCCCCCCATCTCGAGTCCAGAATCTCTGTGACCTCGTTGACGGGTTCGTCCTTAGGTGACCTCCCCCTCTTGGGCGACTCCCTGCTTGGTTCTGGTGCCGTCCCTGACTCCTGAAACCTGTGTGGGGCCCTGTAAGGGGTGAGCACCGACCTATGGAAGACCGGGTGCATTCTGGAACCTTCGGGGAGGGCTAGGCGAAACGCTACGGGATTGATCCTGGCCTCAACTTGGTACGGCCCTAGTTGCCTGTGCCCTAGCTTCTTCTTAGCTAACGACTTGGTCGGCATTGCTTGGGCCGCTAACCATACCCAGTCTCCCACCTGGATGTCTTCCCCTCCCTCCTGTGTCTGTCTGCCTGCACCTTATAGGCCTGTTTGGCGAGCTCCAAATGTCTCCGTAGCTCGTCGTGGACCTCTTGCAATTCGGCTGCGAAATGGTCGGCTTCCAGTGGCGCCCCCTCCCCCGTCGTTACGACCCCGGAAGGTTCTGGGATGCCGTCCATTGTTAGCGAAGAACGGCGTCACCCCCGTCGACGCGTGCTTCGTGTTGTTTGTAGGCAAACTCAGCCATCGGCAGGTAATCCACCCAAGCCGCGGGTCGCTGATTGGCGTAACATCTCAGGTACTGCTGCATGATCGCGTTGACCCTCCCGCTTGGCCGTTGGTCTGCGGATGTCTCGCCGACGACAGGCTGATTTTGACGTGCAGAATCCCTAGGAGCTTCTGCCAGAAGCTGGACACAAACTGGCGCCCCCTGTCGGACAGAATGGACCGTGGCAAGCCATGCACCTTGAACACGTGGTCGATGAACAGTTTGGCGGTCTGCTCCGCTGTTGCCACCTTCGCGCAAGGAATGAAATGCGCCATCTTGGTGAACAGGTCTACAACCACAAGCACCGCCGTCTTGCCTCGCGAACTGGGCAGATCAGTGACAAAGTCCAGCGCCACCCGCTCCACGGTTGCAGTGGCGTCTCCAGCGGTTCCAGCAGTCCCGCTGGCTTCTGGTGCACTGCTTGGACCTTTGGCATGTGTCACACCTGGCGACGTACTCCGCGACCTCCCCTCGCATCTGGGGCCACCAAAAGTCTCTGGCCACTAATTCCGTCGTCTTCTCCTTGCCGAAGTGGCCAGCGCTGGTGCGTCGTGCAACTGCTGCAGAACCTTCGCGCGGAGATCGTCTCCCGGAACGTAGAGAGCACCTTTACGGGTCAGCAGCCGTCGCGTATCTGGAACTCGTCGTCCTTCGCCGTGCCTCTCCGCACCTCTTCCATTTTGGACTGTGCGAACGGATCCGCCTGCAATGCCGCGTCGCACCGCCTCCAGGTCCACGGCGGCTGAAGCGCACGCCCACGCCTGTGGTGCAAAAATGTGCCTGGCTGCCGCCGGTGCCGCTTCCTCGAGATACTGCGGTTTCCTGGAGAGCGCATCTGCTATGACATTGTTGTCGCCTGGGATGTACTCTATCCTGAAATCGAAATCCGCAAAGAACTCCGCCCAGCGTATGTGCTCTCTGGCTCTGTAGCTTCGCCGTGCGCCAGTACTCTAGGTTCTTGTGGTCCGTGCGGACCTGCACGGTGTGCTTGGCTCCGATGAGGAAGTGCCTCCACGCCTTGAAAGCTGCGTGGATGGCCAGCAGCTCCCTGTCCCAGATGGTGTAATTCTGTTCCGACTTGCTGAGTTTCCGGGAGTAGAAAGCACAGGGCCTCCAGTTCCCCTGCGGGTCTTCCTGCAAGAGGACGGCCCCCACCGCTCTGTCAGACGCGTCAGTCTCCACCCTCATGGGCCTGCCGGGATTCACGTGTAATAATAATAATAATAATAAAATTTTATTTATATCCCGCCCTCCCAGCCGAAGCTGGGCTCAGGGCGGCTAACAACAATCAAATAACCAATAGTTGAATAATCACACATTCTAAAATATTTCATTATAAAAAATTTAAAAAAAAAAATTAATTAAAATCAGATTGATGGCAACCAAAGTACTGTGCAGGTTGCCGGAGGAGGGGTCAGGCTGCGCCCTGACCAAAGGCCTGGTGGAACAACTCTGTCTTGCAGGCCCTGCGGAAAGATGTCAGGTCCCGCAGGGCCCTAGTCTCTTGTGACAGAGCATTCCACCAGATTGGAGCCGCAGCCGAGAAGGCCCTGGCTCTAGTTAAGGCCAGCCTAACCTCTCTGAGGCCTGGGACCTTGAGGATGTTTTTATTTAGACCGTAGGTTTCTCTGTGGGGCATACCAGGAGAGGCGGTCCCGTAGGTACGAGGGTCCTAGGCCGTATAGGGCTTTAAAGGTTAAAACCAGCACCTTAAACTGATCCTGTACTCCACCGGGAGCCAGTGCAGCTGGTATAGCACCGGGTGAATGTGATCTCGCAGCGAAGACCCCGTAAGGAGTCTCGCTGCGGCATTCTGCACCCGCTGGAGTTTCTGGGTCAGTCTCAAGGGCAGCCCCACGTAGAGCGAGTTACAATAATCCAGTCTGGAGGTGACCGTCGCATGGATCACAGTGGCTAGGTCAGGGCGAGAGAGGTAAGGGCCAACTGCTTAGCTTGGCGGAGATGAAAAATGCCGCCTTTGTTATAGCTGTAATCTGCGCCTCCATGAGAGGGAGGTATCGAAGATTACACCCAACTCTTAACGGACGGTGCTGGCACTAATTGCACCCCCGCAAGAGAT